TGAGTTGGAGGCCAGTAACCAGTGGCATCCCCCAGGGATCAATACTTGGTCCAGTCTTGGTCAATATGTTCATCAATGGTCTGTACAAGGCGACAGAGTGTATCCTCAGCAAGTTTGCTGAGGATACCAAACTGGGAGGGGTGGCTGACACTCCAGAGGCCTGTGCTGCCATGCAGCATGACCTGGGCAGGCTGGAGAGTTGGTCAGAGGTTGAACCTCATGAGGTTCAGTAAGAGAAGTGTAGGGTCCTGCACCTGGGAAGAAACACCAAGTACCAATACAGGTTAGGGGTGGATCTGCTGGAAAGCAGTTCTGAGGAGAAGGACCTGGGAGACCTGAAGTAAATTACCCCTGAACCAGCAATGTGCCTTTGTTGCCAAGAAGGTGAATGAAATCCTGGGTTGCATAAAGATGAGTGTGGCCAGTAGGTCAAGGGAGGTCATTCTCCCACTCTACTCTGCCCTGTTGAGGCCACAGCTAGAATACTGCATCCAGTTCTGGGTTCCACAGTTCAAGATACACAGGGAACTACTGGACAGAGTCCAGAGAAGGGTGACAAAGATGATAGGGGGAACTGGAGCATCTCTCTTATGAGGAAAGTCTGAGAGAAACGGGACTCTTCAGCCTGGAGATGGGAAGGCTGAAGGGAGACCTTATTAATGTATACAAGTATGTAAAGGGTGGGTGCAAGGAAGATGGAGACAGGCTCTTCTCAGTAGTTCCCAGTGTCAGAACGAGGGGCAATGAATACCAGTTGGAATATAGGAAGTTCCATTTAAATATGACCAAAAAAACTTATTTACAGCGAGGGTGACAGAGCTGCCCAGGGATGCTGTAGAGTCTCCTCTGGAGCAACTCAAAACCTGCCTGGATACAGTCTCTGTAAAGTGCTCTAGATTATCCTACTTCAGTGGTAGAGTTGGACTAGATGATCTCTGGGGGTCCCTTCCAAATCCAGCAATTCTGTGATTCTGTGAAATGCTAGGCTGAAGTTCATCAGTTGGCTAGGAAATGCACAGACATGCACAGTAAATGCCTCCATGATCAACCAAAGCTTTATGTAACAGTAGAGACCCAAATTCAGACACAAAACCAAATGGTATGTTAAAACTGATTACACCCTATGAACAGAAGTCAGGAGAGCCTGAACAGTATTAACTGACTGAATGGGAGAAAGCAGCCCACTCCCCTCTTTCCTTCAGGACAATCAACTACCGGAGTTGTTTTATCTCCCTCTCACAAAAGATATTCAGGCTTTTTGAAGGCCAGAAGAAAGTTGTCAGGATTTCACCAAAGAATCTACATTGCATTCACTGCAACAGTCTGACCAGTTCAGTGCTCTCAAACTATAATATGTATCACTTTTTAATCCTACTGTCACAAAAAGTATCTGTACCACAAAAGCTATCAAAATTATCTCACCTGCTCAAATTGAAGCTTAGACACCTCTGATTTGAGTATTCAGATGCTTGTCTCTTCAAGAGAAGAAATACTGAGCAACCTCCACCCATCTACAGGGAACGGAGTGGTTTTGTTGTTACTCCCAGGCTCAGCAACCCTACTACAACCTGTTGAAGTCTGTCTCTCAGAGTCTTGAAAGTGGAACTTTAAGGGCAGTGAATAGTAAAGCTCTAAGATATATCCCTAGCACATTTGTGGAAGCCTTAACACTACGAAAACAAAACAGCACTTATGCATGTAAATAAGGAATGTGTATCAGAAAGGCTGTTGAGCAGTAACTGAGATGTCTGTTTATATTCTTTCTTGATGCCAAAGACAATGCTACTAGTGCTGTCTGTTAAACAGCAAGATTGCAATTTTTGGCTTGCACAGATGTGGTGGGGAGGAACAAGAGAGAGGCAGTATAAGAATTTCTACAGAAGCGGAATTTAAAAGCCTTCAGACAAAATTTCTAAGTTGCTTTAGAGTCCTGACCTAAATTGAGCAGTTAATTTTTGCAAGTTACCAAGAGTTCCATTGCCTAAAAAAACAAGGCAGTCTTCAACAAGGAATGTTAACATCAACACTCAGTATCTGCTAGAAAGATTACAACTTTTTAAATACAAGGAGTGTCCTTAACAACTCTTCAGACTTTTATCTCTATACACCTTCAGATCTATTTCCATTATTACTTCACTCACCTCTGAACTTCCTCAGGAAAAGTGGCACTAAACATGAGTGTTTGACGTTTGTTTTTTGGTGGCATGTTTGGGAAAGAAATCAGATTCTTCATATCCATCCCGAAACCCATATCAAGCATGCGGTCCGCTTCATCTAGCACCAAGTACTGCACGTTACACAAACCGATCTACAAGTATTTCAGTGAAAAAAACACAGAACATTTGTATTGCTTCACTGACATTATACACCTACAGCACATCCTAACTGCCAAAATCCACCTCTTATTTCTTTCTTTCTAGTAGAAGTTAACTATTCACAAACAGAAGTCTAAGTGCGTTATGCTTTTATTGCATTTCAACCTTTAACTTCTTAATCTGTACTAATTCTAACAGTATGCATAAAATGAAGTGCTTCAGAACTTGGTTCAGTGATGAAAAGCAATAAATAGCATAGATCAAAAATTATTCAGCACATCTATTTCTAAATTGTGTTTTAAGTCCTAGAAAGTTCTCTCGTAGAACCCTCACACATTCTCAAAAAGCCTTTTCTTAAAAGCAAATTGTGTCATTACAAATTCACTGCTGCTGGCCAAGACTGCCATTCTGACTAGAAGCTTAACAACTGCAGAAAGCCAGCCCTCAGTTTATTACGAAGAAATGTTTTTCCAAACTTCATTTGTCCAGTGCAACATCACTGAGCCACTATTACAGTATGTGCAATTTTAAACTGAACTTTAAATGGCTGCAAAAAAATTATATTCAAAAATAGTATTACACCTGGAGGTTTTAATACTTTTAATAAAATCAATATTAAGACATTAAAATAATTAATATTAGCATTGTTCCAGAGAGAGAAAAGCTATTGTAGCAATACAAACAGAACATCAAGTGAAAATCTGCTACAAAATTTCTGAAGTGAATTAGGAAAAGGTGTTCCATGTATTTAAACTACAGAATATAATTGCCAACAACACTGCAGCCAGTTTGATTTACACTGCTGTCTTCCTGTGGACCATGAAAGGGACTCAATAGGTCTGGGCTTACACTATTCTTTCAAAAACCTCATGTTATTTGGATATTCCAAGAAATGTTAATTTGTATTTCAAGTAAAGGCAGCATAATGACTGGTTTTTGCGGCTCCATCTCTGCTCCTGTCAAATTTGAAGAATGAACAACAGCACATAAAAAAACTTTAGAAAACTCAGATTAAGCTTTAAGATCTTACCTTCTCTCTTCTAATGACGTCCAGAAGTCTTCCTGGAGTGGCACATAGTATATTGCAGCCTTGCATTATCTGACGAATTGAATGGCCTGTTTGTGTACCTCCATAGATCACAACAGGCCTTATACAAGTTCTATTATATAGAAAAAAATATTGGGATTAATTATGTAAGTATGCAAACATTATCGTTTCATGAAAATACGTAAAAAAACATTAGATCTACCATCCAGCCAGTTTATTCAGTTCAATTCTTTCCCCACACAGTACAACTTAAAAACAAAAGCAGGATGCAAGACCAGAAACACACTCACCATAAGCTCAAAATTCCTAGTCATGCTGCATAATAGAGGCTGCACAGCTGTCTTACTTGGAAAGAACACTGCATTACACCTGCATTTTCCCCCCTCCCTTCAACTGAGAGTTAGTGGCAATAAAAGCCAAAACGGTGTTAGACACTGTCCCCTTTGATATGGCATACTTAGAAAAAGCAGAGCCACCAAACATGTGCTTTCAGAGCTTCAGAAGTAATCCTTCCACACCTTGAAAAGACTGAAAAAAAAAATAATAAAATACAGAGGTAATCTCTGTAAAGCAACTAATCATTCTGACCATGTAGAGTGTGCCTCTCAAACATTAGACTGCAAACCCATTCAAAAGCGACATGACTTAGTGCTCTCCCTACTGAATTTTTTTTAAATCTGTACCAGATCATCTTCTCCTGTACAAACATCAGCTCTAGAAGCAAGATCAACCTTATGCTTCTGAAGAGCAAGCTTATGTTTACAACCTCCTGCAGTGTGTATTTTTATACGTAAATTCAAATTGTCTCTCCTTGAAGGTACTAATTCATCCTCATAGGCAACAATGGTCAATCAGGTAAGCTTCTTAACTTTTTACTAGGTTTAACTGGAACTTTCAAGAAAGTTTTCGTTACTGTGTGAAGTCAACACAATGGAGGGAAGTGATGCTATCCAGAGGGACCTTGAAAGGCTCAAAAAGTGGGCTTGTGTAAGCTGCATGAAGTTCATCAAGGCCAAGTGCAAGGTTCTGTACCTGGGTCGAGGCAATCCAAATGCAAGAAAACAGGTTGTGAGGACAGCCCACAGGAGAAGGACTTGGGGGTAGAGGTAGACCAGAAGTTTAACATGAGTTGCCAAGGTGCACTTGCAGCCCAGACATACCCTGGGCTGCATCAAAAGAAGCATAGCTAGACAGTCAGGAAAGGTGATTCTCCCTCTCTGCTCTGCTCTGGTGAGACCCCACCTGGAGTAAGTACCGTGTCCAGTTCTGGAGTCCCCAACATAAGGACATGGAACTCCTCAAGCATGTCCAGAGGAGAGCCACAAAGATAATCAGAGGGCTGGAGCACCTCCTCTATGAAGATAGGCTGAGGAAGCTGGGGTTGTTCAGCCTAGAGAAGGAGGCTCCATGGTGACCTTATAGCAACTTTCCAATATCTGAAGGGGGCCTACAAGGGGACCCTACATGTAGGGCTTTTTTACATTGACAATGGGCAATGGTCTGAAGCTTAAAGAGGGGAGATTCAGGCTGGAAGTTAGAAAAAAGCTCCTTTCCTGTGAGGGTGGTGAGATGCTGGAACAGGTTGCCTAGGGAGGTTTGGATGCCCCCTCCCTGAAGATGTTCAAGGCCAGGTTGGATATGGCCCCGAGCAACCTGATTTGGCGGGAGGCATCCCTGCCCATGCAGGCAGGTTGGAACTAGATGATCTTTAAGTTCCCTTTCAACCCTAGACATTCTATAATTCTGTGAAAAATAGAAACATGTTGGAATCATAACATTTCAAGACTTATCCAGTATCAATTAATACATGTATTTCATATTACTACTTTTGAACTTCTTTAGAGGCAATAGATTCAAACCCTAAAGGTCCCCCAAACGTGGATTATCATCCTTTTACTGCAGGGCAGCTGTAGCAGAAACTTTCTAAATTCAGAAGTTACTTGATTGTGACATAGTCAATAACTAGCTTAAAATAGCATAATTAATAGGACTAGTTATATAGTTAGGACAATTCTAGAGATTAATAAGCTAGTCTTAGTAACAAGCTTAGTATGTAGCCAGGCAAACATGACAGTACTTCTCATAGCCCACTAGATATTGCATGGACAATGTTAATGTTCTCCATTCCACCCCCTAACAGGAGTAACTTGTTACAGACAATAGATTTTAGTTCTCCTCCTGTGCAGGAGTGAAAAGTATCACTTAGCAGCAGAAAGTTCACTGGCAAACTAGTCCAGAAGTACTCTCACACAACATGCTAGGGCCTAAAATACAAGTTTAGGCATCTCATTCTGTTCCGAAGAAGCAGAGCTAAAAGAGGTTGCTGTGAAATTTCTGCCCAAGACCAGAACCAACTGGAAGTACAGAGTAATTAGAAACCATCTGTGAAAGTTAATCGAAACCCTTAACACATACCTCTATTTTTGTCAAAACAAAAATAAAAGCAAGTATAAATTACATAAGGCAAGCTACGTTTCAGTTACTTCATTTAAAACATCTCATGTTTCTCATCAGTAAAGATTATGTGACAGAAGTTTAGCACTTACCTCCTCTTCAAGCTGGAATAAGCCTCGCTCTCTCTCCCCCACCCCAGTATCAGGAGGATTAGGAGTTTAAATCCCTAGCAATACACTATGAAACCTGGTAGCCAATATTACCATCTAAATTCAAGTCTCTGTAGTCATTCACTTGGCAGAGGAAAATTTCTGAAAGAATTCATGCAAAAAATAAAGCACTGCTGATTCAGAAAAAGTAATGATCCATACCAAACAACAGTGCAAAAGCTTACCCATACACAAATTTTCTTGCTTCTAGGAAGATTTGATTTACGAGTTCTCTAGTTGGGGCAATAATGAGACATTCTGGCTCTTGCTGCTCTTTAAAGCTGCTGGCAGTTACACCACTCCTCATCATATGGGCCACAATTGGTAGAAGAAAAGCTGCCTAAAAAAAAGCATCAGTATTTATCCTGCTTAGTCTTAAAGCTCTCATCACCCTAAATAATATGACACACTATCAACCTGAAGGAAATCAGACTGCAAAAGGATTGAGCTGACTGCACTACAGTTACAAGCTTATTTCTCCTTGAAAATACCTCTCTGGGCCTTAACAGTCTAATAATGCAGGAATACAGTTATGCAGCACCTAGCTTCTGGGTTCTTCAGGCAGTACCGCACACCATGCTGACACACACTATATACCCCATATACATTATATGCCCCAGGACAAAAAATTATCCTTAAAAGCTTTACACTATTATCAGTTAGGTTTGTAAGGTAACCACGTATCACCATTCTTCAACAATAGTAGATCAGTTTGTAAAATAGCTGCATCAGGACCCTTCCTTCTACCTAAGTCTAGTAACCCCCAAAACAGAATTACAGCAGTCCCAAAAGCATTCAGGACATATATAGCATAAGCTTTGGACATCTCCTCTGCAAGAAAAGAGTTTTTCAAAACAAGCAATTTCTATGTAACAACAACACTGGAGTTCCACACTCCACTGAAAGGGAAAAAGCTTGTTAGATTTGGGCACATAAGACAACTGTCAACTTAGTATCAACTCAAAAAACTTTTCCATGATTAATACTGCATCACCCAAAACTAAGTCTAACAAAACAGACCGACACACTGTTATAATCTGGCTAAGTTTGAAAAAAACCAACAACCCACTGTCCTGTATCTGAATCCCCGAAGACTGGTATACTGTATTGAGACACTGGCTCACTGAAACTAAAAAGAAATTCAGCCCAAAAATGCGACAACACATTCATTACTTCTATCTCTGCTTAATACTATACCTGCCATTGCAGTACAAGTCAGATCATTAAACAGCAAGATGTGAAGTATATGGGATGTGGAAGGCTGAGGCATCCATCTAAACGTTCAAGGGCACACACTCCCACTAGTATGAATACTACAAAAAATTCTTACAGTTTTTCCCGATCCTGTCTGGGCACACGCCATTAAATCCCGCCCTGCCAGTATAATAGGCATGCTATACTTCTGCACTGGAGTAAGTTTAGAGTATCCAGCTTTAGCAATGTTCACGTTTAAAGTCTGGCAGAGGTTAGCTGTTTCAAAATCCTGTAAGAGAGAAAGTTATTATTAACAGTACACAATCACTGAAGGTCGAAGCTTAAAAACTGAGATGCTTACCATAGGATACAGAGATCCAAACACTAAAAGGCATAAAGTTTTAAGGGAGTGTCACCTAGACTGCCAAGGTTCCTTACAGGTAAAAGCCCCAAATACTTCTTCAACCTGCTTATGCCATTCAAGTGAAGTTGTTTCTAAGATAGTCAAGGCCTTCAGCTGGTCTTACTAGCTTTGAGGAAGACCTGCTCAGAAAGCATACATCTGGATTCAAGCAGGTGAACTCACATTATGGCATGCTATGAAAACAAACTGAAACTCTTCAATTTCATTTCACATAGGAGATACACACTCAGTCTCTGTGCTAGAACTATCAAAGGGAGCTAAAGCAACATCCCTATACAGGATCAAAAAGCAACATACATGACAAAATCAATTCAACTCCAGAAAGAAAATCTTTCAGAAGACTGATGAGGGAAAAATCCTCTTCATCTTCTCTTTAAACACAGGTGTTGCCACACCCTCTGGCCTTCTTCCTCATTCTTCTCCCTAAAAGAGCTTTTTTTTTTAATTACTTTTGAACAACAAACTGCAGCTACAGAAAGCAGTGCTATGAACTACTTCAAAAACACCTCTGTCTAAATGAAAACTATTCTGAAAAGTGTTCATTTACACTGTTAAAGATGCCCCCATACTAGATCTCAACAAGGTAACTACCAGCCTTCCCAGAGACTGCTGCCAACAACTTTCTTTCCAGATCTGAATTGGTGTTTTTCTGCAATTTAAGGACTACAGCTTCTGTCCATGCTGTATTACTTTCTCTAGGCCATTTCTGTAGTTTGCAAACATGATTTTTAATTCAAATTTGTACTTTTCAAATGGACAGCATCTCCTTCGAACATAGTACTGTCTGCAAGATTCAAAATCTGTAGTATTATTTTTTATCAGCAGTGAATATTAGACTCACTATACATTCTTCAAGAATCATGCTCAACATAAACCCTGAGATAAAGAAGTTCACTAACCTGTAATGGTGCTGGAGGGTCAAGTCCTGACACTTGAACAACATTTTCATCATACTTGTCAAAATTAATTCCTGTCTGATAATGTGCAAAGATGGATTGCTCATCATCAGGTGGAGGAGGGGGCACGTAAGTCACCTTTGGACCTTAAGAACACAACCACTCACGTTCATGAATAATATAAAGAAAACTACAACTAAAACTATTTTGAAAGTACAGAGCTATTGAAGTAATGTTCAGTGGTACTTCTCTTCAACCTTCAGAAAGGCAAGAAATTTCACAAATGCATTTTATTAGAACTCAGTTTTTTACTACTAGGCCTAAAATTTACTTAGAAATTAAGTCAGACTTTTAAGAAGCATTCTTGTCTCACCTTTGCTCCAAGGCCTTGCTTTGAAGAGCAACTCTCAAAACCTAAATTAGGCTTCACTTTACCATCATGCAAAACCCAATTCTATCACAAAAACTCATTACACTGTAAACTATCCTATTTGATAACAAGACATTTATTAACACATAATGATAAAATTAATCTGCTGTCCTGTTTCAGCCAGGATGAAGCCACTTTCCCTTTACTGACTCTTTTTTTCCATCAGTAAGCTTTCTACTGATAATGCTGGAATGTTTTTGTTACTGCCAGGACTTTAAGGCCATGTCTTTGCTGGCTCAGGCACTAGATCAGGCACAAGATCTCTGACTCCCTTGTAGGTGGCTGAATTAGACAGGCAGCAAAATTGGCCAGAGATATTCCATTCCATGTATCTACGTAAGCTCAGAGAAGGTCAGAGATCACAGAAGACAACTTGCTTCCTGTTGCTTCTTCCTTTCTCTTCCATCCATGGCCAGCATCCAGGGAGGACTCTCTTGTGTAATTATTTTAAAGAGGATGCAAGATCTGGAACAAGAGTGCCACTGATGTTCTCCAGATACATGTGCAGCAGCTACTGAACAGAAGAAAGGCAGGAGATGGTTCTTCCAAGAAGGCTGCACCAGTCACCACCCAGGATGGTGCACTGACCTCTAATGTCCAACACTTGATGTGCCCTGCCTCCAGCAGGGTGAGGAGAGGGACAATTGAGTTTATGGGACTGTGTGGTTTCAATGGCCTAGCACATTAGAACCACAAAGGTATAAAGCCCTGGTGGACACTGGTGCACTGTGCACCCTGATGCTATTGAATCATAAAGGGACAGAATCCATCACTATTTCTGGAGTGACAGGGGGATCTCAAGAACTGATTGTTCTGGAGGCCGATGTGAGCCTCACTGGTAAGGAGTGGCAAATGCACCCTGTAGTGACTGGCTCAGATGCCCCATGCTTCCTTGGCATAGACTATCTCAAGAAAGGATATTTCTGTGACCCAAAAGGTCATGGTGGGCCTTTGGTACAGCAGCTGTAGAGACTGAGGACACTGAGCAGCTGCATACTTTGCCTGGCCTTTCAGATGACCCTTTCAGATGACCCTTCTCTAGTGGGGTTGCTGAAGCTTGAAGACCAACAGATGCCAATTGCCACTTCCAACAGTGCACAGACAACAATATCACACCAACAGAGACTGTGATTCCCATTCATAAGCTGATTAGGCAATTGAAGAGCGAAGGAGTGATGAGCAGGACACACCCTTCAACAGTCCTGTTTGGCCAGTGCAAAAGCCTGATGACATCTGTTCATGGCAGTACATTTATAGTTTTGTATTTTCCAAGTTAATAAATTCAGAGGTACAAAATTAATTATCTGATGCTCACTGCAAGGTTAGTACTAGAAACCATTTCACAGGCACATTTTGAATGAGGAAGGATCAGGAACCAAATTATCCATATGGAAGTCAGGAGTTCACTGTTTGTCATTTTGCATTTCAAAAGTAAGAAAAAAGCACAGTAAGGTTAAAGTAATTTGCAAAAAACACTGCAGGTAAGTAAACATTCTAATTGTTTGTCCAACTGGCATTTTCAGTACATGTCAGAGAGTCATTATTCATCATATATTTCAATCTGATCTACACATACAAATCAGAAAATTCTGTTTACTAGCTTGCACTCAGTAAAAGACATCAAGCTTGTTTTCCAGAAATAGCATCCCATATGCTGTAGCATCAGAAACTACTGTTCTTTTTTTTTTTAGTTTGCTTTATTGACTATCACCACTTAGGATGCCTAAACTACTGCCAAGTAAGTTCTCCAGAAGCTTTCTCTCAAGCTTCACCATCAGAAATAAGAAACAGCTATCAACAGAGGAATTCTTCACCACTCGATTCCAAATATTTAAGTCTCATGTGAGAACAACCACATTGCCCAGTAATTCAAAGATCAATAAAGTTTAAACATACAGAGTTTAACAGTATTTTCATGGAAACTTATGTTACAGAAAGAGTTTGGTTATGCATCTACCCATACCACTACCTTCATTTTTACCCAAGTACTTCCAACAACTTGGAGAATATTGTTTGAGTTAAAAGCAAATTTAAATTCACGTGTTACTTGTAAAGAAGCTACTTACCTCTTTCAGAATCTATTTCTTCACTGCGTTCTTTGTAAGCTGCTGTTAAAGAAAGTATTTAAAAGTTAATTGCTTTTAGGAAAAAAATAGGAGTCTTCATGAAAAACACCTAGAGACACTTAAAAAACTCAACAATGGGTCCTGATATGGTTGGTAGAATAACTGAAAATATTTAAGTAACAAAAGCTCAGTTACAAAAAGCCAGAAAACAAAGGCACCCTGAAGCTAACTGTAAAATGTTTAACATGTTGTTTACCTGACAGTCTGCCCCAGAGAACAGAATGCATGGCCAGGAAAAAGCAGAGGCCAGGGCAGAGTGAGACATGCCAGGTAAGTGCCTATGAGGCTAACTGAAATTGAGCCCGGTTGGGGTCAAATCATTGTGTATATTGTAAACAAGGAAGGACACTGGAAAAGGAGTTGTCCACAGGCTCCTGGCAGAAGGGGAGTCTCAAGGTCTAAATTAGATCTTATCTCCAGAATAGTGACAATGGATCAAGACAGGAACTCAGACTGACTGGGGGTGGTATTAAACACCCTAGCAGAACAATAAAGCTGGGGAAGGACAAGGTTAATTTTTTGGTGGAAATTATCCCCAGGTTTGGAGTGCCAGAAGTGATCTCCTCTGATAGGGGACTATACTTTGTGTCAAAAGTAGTTCAGCAGTTTTTTTTTTAATAAATTCTTAGAAATTAATTGCAAATTGCACACAGCTTACTTACTGCCTGCAAGCAACGGCAGTAAGGAGGCAAGTAGAAAATATTAATTATTTGATAAAGACATAAGTAAGATTCGTCAGGAAACACTGACTTGGGTAAAAGCATTGGCACTAGCATCAGAACTCAGCCTGATGGGAAGGGCAGTCTAAATTACTTTATGGATTAACTTAATGGGCTCCACATGTGCTGTGTACCACTCATATAATGGGAGGGTTTACAAGCGCTTCAGAAACATGTGACAAATCACTCGAATGCTTCACAAAAGAGATTGTTGAATTTGCACACACACCCCAGAGACATGGGAACCTCACTATACTTAAAACAGTAGTATCCCATGGCCTGCTCCACAGAAAGCAGGATGGTATTGGCTATGTAATAATAAAGCTTGAAAAATATCTCCCACTGGATGGACTGGAACATGAACTTTGGGAGTTGCAATTCACAGTGCTATTGGAGATGACTCATCATTGGTAGGAAATCTTTTCAGGATACTCACTCTCTGTAGAAAGAACCCTGAAAGTTTTAATTCACCCACTTTTGATACTGTTGGTGTTTGTGATTTTGCCGACAGTCATTAACTGTCTTTTATGGTATAAGCTGAAGAAACCAACTCTAAGATAATCTGGGCTTTGCCTAGGGTAATGAAATAAAACAATCTAGAATCTTTGTAAAGGAACTCACAAGGTTTCAAGAAAAAGAGAGTGAGTGGCATCATGGCTGGTTCTTTTTTGTACATTAGGCTTAAATCACAACAAGCATATTTTATTTAAAGACAACCAAGAGGAATGAGCCCTCTGAAGTCCAACATATCCTTTGCACAGGCAGAATCAGTTGCAGAAAACAGCATCTATGTTTGCTCACTTTCAGCAAGATTGAATCACTGACTCTGAGCAGAAATACCAGTTCTAAACACGCAGCCAGTTCTGTGAGTTGGATCAGGAATGCTCTGTTCAGCAGCAATACTCTTCAGCCACTCTGTAAAAACACTTCTTCATTGAGACAGTGACAGAATCCAACCAAACATGCAACACACAGCATGTGTATGCTCCCATAAATAATTATATTCCATCAGAAGATACAACACGTTTACACGGTATCTCTGATTGTAGAACGCATCACTGTCAAGAAAAGCCAGCACAGCCTTCATTACCCTCTACAAAATACAAGCAGCGTGACAGCTATTCAGATGGAGACAGTACAACAACCTGGCAGCATGTGCTCTACTCCTCTAGATCCAGGCACATTCCCTTTCTATAAAAGGACGTAATTCCCATGCAACAAACTACCTTTATGAACAATTCTCTTTCCATATAAACCTCTACACAGACTAGAAAAACTGTTGCCTTCCAAAATCCGTAACAGTCTCTACACAAAAATACTTTATACAACAGTCAAGAAAAAGCAAGGAGTGACTCCTATATTAAGGCTGCAGTTATATGCACTATGAGTATTCCCGTGTTGCCCCTCTGAACACTTAATTGCTACATATAATTATTTTAACTAAGTCAAATAGAGGCAATTCAATTGTTCTTTGGGTAGTACAGAGCACTTCTGAAAACACATGCTGATAATTGTATCTTTTCAACAGTGAAAATTCTTTTACCAGTATGAAACAAAACAGTATCAGCCACTACCCATTACAGCAGTTTACCATCAACCAGTATGCTAGTCTAATGTCACTTCTAATTTAAATTTTGGGACTCTTTTGAATGATAAGATTATTGTGCTGTAGGTAGCACAACACAGGTTACAACAGCACCAGTGGCAAAGGAAGATCACGAGGGAAAAATCCTCTGTAGGCAGCAAAACCCCACCAACGTTAGAATGAGGTCATCAAGAGATGGCCTCTCAGAGCTACAAATCTTACTTGCTAGCCTGGACAAATGTGTAGCAGCACTTTCCTTCATTGGGGGGGGGGTGTGCGTGTGGAAGAAGTCTAGAGTGACTATTTCAAAACTGAGAAAGTTCTTAAAGGTTTGCTTTGAACTTTCGGGTTAGCACCTCTGCTTTACTGTGCATCAACTGATCCAGTTAGTAGCACAGAAGCACCAAGAGAAATATTACAGACGACAATAGCTTTGAAAATACAATTAACAAAACTGATCCAATCACAGTGACAGCATTTAATAAAGCTAAGAAGATCCTGCATCACCCCAAATCAGCAATAAGGAAGTCTGAAAGGTTTACCAGTCCACCAAAAAGTCTCACCTGTACGATCTCCAAATGGTCGTCTTCCTCGAGAGTCAAGAAGAATGCCAGACTGTGGTCTGTCTCTTTGCTCAACTTTAATACCTGGAAGTGTAGTGGATATAGTGCCTACAATTAGCATCATTAAATACTGTGCCTAAAGCTAACCCCATTAACTCCAGAAACAATACAGTGCCACAGCCCCAACAGATCCTTCATTACTCCAATCTATGCTGTATTACTCCCAGTGCTGCTGCTTTTCAAAGATGTCATCCACATTCCACAACACAGTTAAGAACAAAAACGATTTCATAGCTTTCAGCTTTATGGTTGCAGCTCTCTCAGGGAGCAAGCAAACCTAAAATTACCAAATATTGTTTCCCCACAAACCAGTCACTATAAAAAAAACAAACACCCACTTACTCTCTTTTTGTCCAAAGCCACTAGGAAATCCTCTAAAACCTCTATTTTGTGTAGAATCTTCTATAGCATCCCCTTCTTTGAAACCTGTGTTACAGCATAGCACACAACAACTTAGTTTATCCAATTTTGCGTGTGCAGATCAAGTTACTTTTATTTAGGAATAAGGGCTTTACAGCCCTTATTTTACAAATTCAAATAAAAAGCAGAGTAAAACTGATTTTCCTAAACACGGAAAAATGAAGCAACGTACTATTTCTTTGCCAAAAAGTATGTCAAGAAATGGAGCCTATGCCACTCCTGTAGTACTGGTTCCCACAAGAAGTAAATCCAACATTTAGTCTTGAAGTATTTGATTTTACAGGCATACATGCTATATAAGCTAGTCACTTTCAATCCTTTAGCTATGATGCAGGAGAGTTCAGTCCCCTAGTTCAGTTCCAGGACAACTGACAGGATCTGTACTGTCTCATATTTTGTCATCAGTACTGTATAGTGCAACAGTATTGCAGTAGCTGCCTCCTATGGAGCGAGTATTTGGAAACTTGCCTTTCAGCCCTTCAACTTCTATTTTCTTATTATTCAGAACTGCTTATTCAGTTGCTTGCGACAGGCAGTGTCAAGTACCTAGTGTCTTTGTATTTCCAACTACTTTCCCTAGTCAGCCTCCTGAGGGGGAGCAAGCAGGAAGACGAGAGGCATTAAGTATCACTTTACAGACACTAAAGAAAGCAAGCTTTCAGGTCTTCCACATAACAGCACTAGTATTCCACTTCCTGTGGCATGGATGTTAACTCTCATGTTCAGCTTCCTGTCATATTACATTATGACTCTACAAAATTAGCAGGAAAATGCCACCCTCCAGGAAGAATGGAATCCAAGCAACAAGTAAAGAAAATACTGATTTTAAATGCAGAGTTCTGCCTTCTGGCAAACATGGTGGGTATTTTATGCTGTGTAGTCAAAAGTAAGGGCTGATACTGAGTACCTCCATTATTATGCAGCAATAAGGACTAGTATTACCCTCTTGAGTCACAAACACTCATTTGACTTTGACACAACCAAACCCAGTAGCTGAATAGGGTAAATTCAACGTATCAGATACGACTAGCCAATAGAATTACATACACCCAGAAATTTACCTGTTTCCAAAATTCCTCCTGCTGCCACCAAATCTACTCACTGGTTCACACTGTCTGTTCAGATATTCATCAGGATCCACAGTTAAAATAAAGAATCAACTTAACATTAAACACTATCTTAGACATTACTGCATGCTTTGGCTTTGTGCTGTTTTGTTGTTTCAGTTGTTCAGATTTTTTAAAACACAACAGTAGAATTACAGAATCATTCAGGCTGAAAGCAACCTCACGTCTGTAGCCTATCCCCCACTTAACAAAAAAAAAAACCCCCTATGTGATGAAAGTGTCCTTCTATAAGACATAAAAATAAAAAATTGCTAAGCTTAGCACAGGCGTAGCTACTGTTTTCCATAAGGAACAGCAGCACTCAGTAATGCTACCAACACAGCAAAAATTTCAGTTTCCAGAATCTACTCAGACACCAGCTGCAACGGCCTCCATCCTAAATGTTTTGCCCGAAAGGAAGGCTTCATCACCCCCAAAACTACAAACGTTAACGATACAAACCTACCTCTACTCCTGGAATACCCTCCAAAGTGATCCTGCCTATGTCTTTCAACAGCACCTAGAAGAGAAGAATAAGCAGAAAGTAAGGCTTCTGACGCTGTCTCCAATAACATCCTCATACACAAACCAATCAAGTACAAGCCTCCATAATCAGCCAGGAGGAGTGAAAGTAGAATCCCTCAATTCCAAGGGTTGTGATCAGCACCACAGCCTCCATCTAGTGCCCAGTCACTGGTAGAGCACCCCACTGACCGATACTGGGGCCAACGCAGCTTAACACCTTCATTCCTAACTGTCCCACTTCTAGCCAACAATCACTTGACAGACACTCTCTGTTATTCCCCCACTACACGTCCAGAGGAAGAGTAAAAGGGGAACAAGGGACAGAGATTTCAGGGCTGGGAAAAAAAATACAATAGGTTTAAAGAAGTACTACTACTTACTAACAATGACGGTGAATTACAAATACATAAACCAACATGGAAATATGGAACCCATGCTCCTCAGTTGGTAAACACTTCTGGACCAGAAAAGTCCCAAACGGGACTCGGCAGCAGATGGGAGTGCCTGAGTCCCCAGTTCCAGAATGAATCCTTGTTTCCAAGTCACTCAAGTTAAAATCTAGGATTGCATCAGCACTCTCAAAGAGCAGCTGTTAGATGCACTGACTATGCATTCACTTACATTTTTTACTGTACGTGGCGAGTGAAAATCCTGACCTCTCTCATTTAATTTCCTGGAATTTCTTATCTGACCTTCTCTTACTTTCAACGTAACTGTCAGAGAGGACCTCACTACAACTGCTCACCATTGCACATAAGGCTTTTCAATTTTCAATGCTGTTCATGTTTACCATAACCTGTTCTATAAACACTAGTGAGGTAACACACCCTGACTCTCATTAGAAGCTACAGGCTCTATTCAGTATGTAAATGCAGTAAATAAATACAGGCTGAGAGCCAACAGGAAAATTCACTCGCTATGTTAACGGTACAATTTTATGTTGCTTATTCTATGGGGGGGACACGAGCATACCACAACGGTAATATTGTGGTTTTCTGTAATCTTTTCAGCTGTTCCAAGGATCAATCCCCCCAAACATCAGTAAAATCAGAAGTGCACTTCACATACCAAATGAGCCTATACTTGAAGTGAAGTCAGACGAAGGGCCATTTGGTCTTCCAGGGAACCTAGCCTACAAAAAGAAAAAAGGAACACCATCATGTCAACTCCAGACTATGCAAAGTACGTCAATACAACTCCAGCTTGAAAGAAGTTGCCACTTGCATCTTCTGAAATACAGTCTCTCAGACTCTTCTGCTAACTTCAGTTCATTGCACATCAATATACTCAACTAACTGCATTTATAGGGCTTTAATAAAGGATTATTACAGATCATCCTAAAAGATGTATCTTTAAGGTAAATTACCTTAAAGTATCTGAAATACATCAGTTCTTGCTAATTTATTCAAAGATTCAGATACTCCTTTTGAGGTAATTCAGAATAGCACCTCATTTTCACACTTTATTTATATTCAGCTTTATTTCCAGCAAAGGCCACATTTACTTTTCTCCTGTTTAATACAAGCCAGATACCCTATGACTAATCCAAAACACCAGCAGACCGAGGAACATCACACACATAGAAAACCTTCTACTTCAAGACTGTGTTTTTTAGGTATTACCACAGCTTTCACACTTCTCAATGTGGCTAGCCACCACTACCACAAATCAAATCCAAACTGGTAAAAATGCTATTCTGAAAGTGTACACTGTCATTTCTTCTTTGGGCAACCTTACTTCTAGCCTTATACATCCACCTTGATAAGCAATTTGCCTCTATGCTTCCAACCTCTTCCATGATGGCTGGATTTAAATGCCCATTGAGACCAATGCCAAGAGTCAAAGGTTCTTCACAGATTATTTTCAAACTTCTGGCAGTTTATTCTGCTAACAATATACACCCAACAACACCAGAAGCAGCAAAAACGTTATTCTTTACCTGTCTTTCATTACAAACCTGTATCTTACCCTCCACTTCACACCAAAGCATTCTGCTGCTATATACAAACAGTAAAATTGCATAATAACGTCTACATACGATTTAGCTCAGAACTAGGCCTGGCAGTAAGTACCTGACATCACCCTAGTTCTGCTACAAACTCCAGAACTGTCTTTTAAGAACATATGTTTAAGAACGGAGACAGCTGAGACAGTCACCCATGTTCTGTTCTGCTGTGGGAATCAAAAAAAAAACAACAAGGAAACAAAAACCAATTCAGTGACTGCCAAGAGAAAGAGACAGCAAACAGAACAACTAAGAGAGAAGTTCCAGTTCACATAAAACCCACAGCTGAGAACTACCACCAAAAAACATGGTTCTTCTAGTCTCCAATAAGGCAGCTCCAACACTGCCCTTTCACAATTCAAGGAACAGCTGAAAGCACCTTGAAACCAATACAACCTGGATCAGAAATTGCGGCCTACTCAAATCCAAACAACAGTCATCTCTTGCCAGTTTATCTTACAATTTCAGAACACTTAGATCTGACATACATAAGGGAACAGGAATGCATGAGAATGGAAAAAAAGAAAAATGGCAGGCAGCAGGAACCATGCCTTCCAATAAGTGCAAAACATTTCCTGAATACCGTTTCCACAGCTGACTTGCAATTACAAGTCTCTGCCCTACCTAAGTTGTGGCTTATTCCCTTCCAGCCTCTGCTGCTCCACTAGCCTATCCCCAGAGGTACTCAATTACTAGCCCATGTATCATACTGAATGAGTTACTAGTACGTGCCACTTTCATTCCACACGCTTTCCCAAAAAGCAAACATCCTGTCACAACCCCATGTAAGGCAGAAGCATGGAGGAGCTGGAAGAGTAAAACTAATTGGCTTCCATGCTCCAGAAGCCTTCAAGGAGAGAAGGCACCACAACATCTTGAGACTGAAATTGCTGCTGTTACGAAAACACTGTCTTTTCAGCACTCGAGTTAAGAGCAAGTTCTTCCATGTGCTTCACCAACCACAGGGACAGGCAACCACAGCCCACCAGCCACGTAGGCCACAGAGCCAGGAGGAAGGAAGGGGGGAAAAAAGCCAACATGCTACAGCCCAACAGTTGCCACCTCGTACCTGCTCAAGGGCAGGAAGAACTGATGACTCCTCGTCCCCCATTTCTGCATTCCAGTCCTCCTGGTTCATGCTGCGTTGTGCCGATCTGCTTGCAAGAGAGGAAACACGTTACCAGGGACTCCCTGCCTGTGTCCTCATGGCCACCCCTACGTCGTGAGGAAGGGAAGAGATGGGGGGGACGGAGTGGGGGGCGTGGCGGGG